ACTCACAAATACTCCATAAGCTCCAAATACCAAGAGATGAGCTATAAATTACTCACACAATGGTATAGGACCCCGGAGGTACTAAGACACATGCATACACAGCCTCTGGAGAATGCTGGAGATGTAACTCCGCCCTGGGCTCCAACCTCCACATCTGGTGGTCATGCCCCCGCATAGTTCCGTACTGGCAATTGATACACACTAAGATTAAGGAAATCACGGACTCAGATCTCCCACTGCAACCACTGCCAATGCTCCTTCACCACACATCTACTCTTACACAACAATACAAAAAATCCCTCACGATACACCTGCTCTCTGCCGCAAAAAGCCTCATTCCACTGCACTGGAAAAGCCAGACAGTACCCACCTACACTCAGTGGGTGGATAAGGTGGAGGAAATCCATAATATGGAAATGATGACTGCGTCCCTGCGGGAACGCTCGGACAAATGTGCCCTTCTCTGGTACCCCTGGACATCTTACACGGCACGGAGACAGGCATGACCCTCATACTCACTCCTCCAAGAGACCCCTGATATACCTACCAGTTAACCCCACCCCAACGCCACTGTTCAAACCCCGACTCAGATACTCCCCCCCTTCCCCCTTGTCTGTGACATGCCAAGACTAGACATCGCCAGAGCTCTGTCAGCCCACTGGGCTGAGAATTCGAAAACCGATTACTCACGGGGCTCTCACCCCCTCCCTCTAAGCAAGGTGTTAACCCTCTAACAAATACCGAAGTACAACCACAACCCCCTGAACAACACAAACTCACCTATATAACAAATGGCACACCTGAGCCGCACCCCAAGCCCCCGACTGAGAACCGCCTAGGCGGACACACCGCAAGGTGAGGGCGCATAGACTATGAGAAACACACCGACCGTAACCCTGAACCACTACCAGATCTGACACTCTATTAAGGCATACGTCACGCATTGTAACTTGATATTTGTTAACCCCCCTCCCCTACCTTTTTCTTTTTTCTGTCTCCCACCCTGACCTGAAAAACTCAATAAATAAAGAATGTAAAAAAAAAATAATACTGTTTACCTTATAGTAAATCTCCTGGGGAGTTCAGCAAACTCTCACAAAGCAATCCAAGTGTGAGATCAACCCAATGACATGATAATGTTTAATCTGGAAAGCAAAGATTATTGCCAGTTAAAATGACTGATGCATTTCTGTAAAATCATAGCGTTATTCACAGCATGGGATATAAAATGATACTTATCCAGTAAGTATGTTATTAGGTGTCTGATAATTCTTATAAAATTACACTGAACAAAATTATAAACGCAACACTTTTGTTTTTGCCTCAATTTTTCATGAGCTGAACTCAAAGATCTAGGACTATTTCTATGTACTCAAAAGGCCTATTTCTCTCAAATATTATTCACAACTCTGTCTAAATCTGTGCTAGTGAGCACTTCACCTTTGCCGAGATAATCCATCCACCTCACAGGTGTGGCATATCAAGATGCTGATTAGACAGCATGATTATTGCACAGGGGTGCCTTAGGCTGGTCACAATAAAAGGCCACTCTAAAATGTGCAGTTTTACTGTACTGAAAGGATCCGGGGAGGTCCAAAAACCAGTAGTATCTTGTGTGACCACCATTTGCCTCATGCAGTGCAAGAATCTCCTTCACATAACGTTGATCAGGTTGTTGATTGTGGCCGGTGGAATGTTGGTCCACTCCTCTTCAATATATAAAACAAAAAATCAGGGAAAATCTCTCTGGAGAAATCCCTCTTAGGTAAAAAAAGATAATTGGTTGCAAAATTAAACTAACAACATGTAACCATAGACAAGCAGGAGGATAAATATATTGTCATGTTTTCTCTTTAACAAATGCCAAAAAAAATAAAAAAATAAGAACCACTCACTTTTTATTTTGAGGCAGTTTCAGCACGGCAAACAGATGTGGCAGCAAAGCAGAGAGATAAACTGACAGTCCTTGAAAATAGAAGTTTAGGTGATGTGTCCAGGGTTAGTCCATAAGCAAAGTCCTTTATCCAGTCCAAGGTTGTTCAATAGGAGATCAAGCAGTATTGAAGGAAATTCCAAAAGCAGAGTCAAGGCCAGTCCGAATTAGTTAACCAGGTAATCCAAGTTATAGTTGTATGAAGAGGAGATTCAGAAGGGATCCGGTGATGGAACACACGGTCTCTCTAAGAGTCATCCAAAGGATTAGGAAGGAAGGTCATGCAATCAATCAGATTAACACATTAATTGTGCACTGAGGTGCTGGAGATTGGAGTTTAAATAGCCAAAGGGGTGTGTACTTCCATGCTGTCTTAAATGGCCAGTAAAAACTGAATACAATTCTTGACATACCCCCTCGCTCCCCCAAGGAGCTACCTCAGGGAGCGAAAAAGGTTTATGAGGAAACTTTTCATGAAAGGATTTCAGAAGGTCAGGTGCATGAACATTGAAGTGAGGAACCATTGATTATGAGAACAATCATAATCTTTCCATTTAATCAAATATTCAATTATGTTATAGCGTAATCTTGAATCAAGAATCTCTTCAATATCATATTCCTCATCATTATCAACTAGATCCGGTGGAGGAGGAGAGGGTGGTGGTGTAGAAGGGTCAAAGATGTACTTTTTCAATAGAGACACATGGAAAACAGGATGGATCTTTATATGTGAAGAGAGTTGTAGTTTATAGGATACTTCATTAATCTGTTAGATAATTTCGAAGGGACCAATAAAAGTAGGAGAAAGTTTCTTTGAAGGACTATGTAATTTTAGATATTGTGTGGATAATAAAACTTTATCATTAATTTGATAAGAAGGATTGTCACCACGTCTGGTGTCAGCATTAATCTTATAAGTAGATTGAGCAGACTCTAAATTTTCTTTGACAAGCAATAAGGTGGAGTTGATATTATTTACATATTCTGATAGACTTGGGATGTTGACAGAAGGTGATTTAAAAGGAAGGAATCTGG